CACGCGTATGCCCCCCCCCTTCTGTAGCTGCAGCTGCGAGTGCGGTGGTTGCAGGGCCTGGTACCAGCTCCCAGTCTGTCTTCTCATTCTGCAGAAACCTAAAGATCGGTTATTTCAGCCAGCACCATGTGGATCAACTGGACTTAAACATCAGTGCTGTAGAGTTGCTGGCAAGAAAGTTCCCAGGTGAGTTCTGGAGATTCCAGGAGATCTAGGCCATCGAGGTCTCCTTTGCCATGCACGGAGCGGCATTGATTTGTTCTGTGGCCCTGGGCCCCAGACTCTGTCACGTCAGTGCCTAAGGGACACCGCCTGCTCTGGGTTGACTCCCCACATCCAGCACAGGTTCGGGACACCAGCCTCGAGAAGCTGAGCTGGTTGCGCAGGGGCAGCCTCCAGTCTGCAGTGCTCCGGGCCGTGGCCGGGTTTTGGGGGCAGATGACCCATTTTCCTGCTGGGCACAGAACGAGCGCCAGCTCCCCCTTATCCCAGCTGCCAAAACCTCCCGCTCCCTTCTGCACTTAATACGATGTGGCGCGGTGACCGGGAGTTGGGGGCAGCGTCACTTGGAGTCAGTCACCAGCCCTGCAGCCCCTGTCCTGATTGTCTCAGTCAGGTTTTCCCCGCAAACCCCCTGTTTGGGGGGGAATTGCCTGGAAGCGGCTGCTGAATTCCTTCCCCGCCGCACTGGTCTGGCACAGGCTGCCCGGCCGCGGCGCCCACCGAGCTCACGGCACCGAGGGCCCTGTGTCACGCCGGGCGTGCCATAGCTGTGTTGTGACACGCTCCTGCAGGGAAAACGGAGGAGGAGTACCGGCATCAGCTGGGGAGCTACGGCGTCTCGGGGGAGCTGGCTGTGCGTCCCGTGGCCAGCCTGTCTGGAGGTCAGAAGAGTCGCGTGGCCTTTGCCCAGATGACTATGTCCTGGTAATTTTCTCCCAGATGCTGTTAATTTTTGCATGGCTCCATCCCTGGAGCCTGCTTCACCGGGAGGAAGGTGGGTATCCAGGGACTTCCCACTGCCCCATGGAAGCCTCATCCTTGGGACTTTTGCGGGGAGGGAGGTTGTCACCCTGGGGGGACTGTGTGGAAGCAGGCAGGTGGCTTTCTCCTGCTGCTTTGGGCTCGCAGGGATAAGAGGTGTTCCTGGAGCTGGGCAATGCCCATCTTGGCCATGCAAATGCCGGTGGTTGCGGCTTTTCATGGCTAACGCAGCAGCCTGGCGGAGGTCCCTGCTGCGCGAAGGGGTGCAGACCCGGCCCGGGCCTGTTCCAGTGCATGCTCACAGCCATCTTCTCTTCCAGTCCAAACTTCTACATCTTGGATGAGCCGACAAATCACCTGGACATGGAGACCATTGAGGCGCTGGCAAAGGCACTGAATAAGTTCCGGGTAAGGCTCCCTCGGTGAGATCTGTTTTTCTAACGCTCCCTGCAGCCTCCAGCTCGGGTTACTTGGTATCTCAGCCTGAGGCGGACAGTGGAATACCAGTGGTGGCTTCGAGTCCAGGACAGATGTTGGGAAGGGTCAGTCGCATTTCTGCCTTAGCCGTCCATCCTGGGGGTTTGTTTCACTTGCCAGCTTTGGCTAGGGGTGGCTGAGAGAGGCAACAGCAGACCAGAGAGCACCTTGTCCCCCATCTTGGCCTGTCACCTATACTCTGTGACTTCTCGTGTGCCGCATGCGGCGCTCAGCCCTGCCTTGGGGCCTCTCGGCTCTTCCTTAGGCACAATTTATGGCTGATCTCCAAAGCCTCAGCCTCCAGATAGCACTGCGATCAACCTGGCTCTCACTGTTTTATAGTTGCTCTGGTTGGGGCAGTTTTCCTGTGAAAGAAAAGCTTAATTGAGGTTGCTCAGGGCCTGGTCCAGCCACTTGGGACTCCATTGACTCCACCTGGAATCTCCATCCTTGCAGTTGTCAGAGACCTGGAGAGCCAGTAACAAACCCCGCGCTTGCCTTACGGGGGGGATGCTAAATACGTTACTGCTGCACATGCCTCCTCCCTATGTCACCTGTCTGTCCCCTCGAAGGAAGGAAAGGCTGGGATTAGGTCCCTGCTGGTGAAGCACTGTTGAGTTTTCCCTGGAGCGGATGGAAACCCAAAGTCCTGGGCACAGGCTGGACAGGGGCGCAGGATGTCCGTGCCACCAGTGCTGGGCCCTGGGTTGCGCTCCACTAAGTTCCCTTTTTCCCCCCCCTCTGTGTGTTGGCAGGGTGGTGTAATTCTGGTGTCCCACGACGAGCGCTTCATCCGCCTGGTGTGTCAGGAGCTGTGGGTGTGTGAGAATGCCACCGTGACCCGCATCGAGGGCGGCTTCGACCAGTACAGAGACATCCTGAAGGAGCAGTTCCGGAAGGAGGGTTTCCTATAAGGGAGGCGGGAGCCGGACTGCGCTGGGGGCTGGAGCGCCAAGCTCAGCCTCCTCGGCATCCATCCCAACTGTGCCTGGCAGAGCGCCGAGGACGCTACTGCCCGCATGGACCGTCAGCCATGCCATCAAACTGCCACCTGAACTGCTCTCCCCTCCCAGGGCCGGGCGCAAGGACAGCGAGGGAGCAGGAGCCCGGTGCTGCGTGTGGCCGGGGGCTCTGCCGGCGGCCGGGGCCGTGCCTGGCGCTGGGCACGCTGGAAAGGCTGTGCCTGGAGCTGCTGCTCTGCCGAGAGGAGGGAAGGAGGTGTCGTGTCCCGACCCCCCCAGTTTAACTCCGTGCTCTGGAGGGCAGGAGAAGAGCTGTTCTCCATGTTTCTTTGCTTCCCCCTCTGCCTTTTTCTTTCTTTCTTTTTTTTTTTTCTTGTGTGTGTTTAGCTGGCCGAACACTAGTCAGGTTCCATCACATGCCACCGTCCCCTGTGCCGCCCTGGAGGGAAACGAGGCCTTTGCTGCTAAAAGTGACCCCTTGCCTCTTCCCCCAGCCCCTGCAAACGGGGGCTCACTCGCTCTGTCCTCCCCAGGGGCTTGCGCTCGCAGTGCTGGGGGAGCCAGAGCCCGGCTTTGCCCGGGCCTCGCTCCCTGCTCCTTTCCCTGCCTCGCTGCCTGCCTTTCCTTTCCCTTCCAACCGGCCCTGGGGGGGGCTGCCCGGGGGGGTCACCCCTCCCCGCCCGCCTGCACCGAGGTCGCAGTGTAAATAAACCCAGGACGCAGTGGGTGCAGCGCTCGCCTTTCCTTGAGGGGCTGCGGGGCTGGAATTTGGGGGGCGCGGAGCAAGGCT